AAGCCATTTAGCTTAACTTAGCTTAAAAGAAAGACTGGAAAAATGGGAAAAACAACCTGTATAAAGTCAAAATCCACTAACCAGCACCTCCAAAGCCCACCAATTAGTATGTTATCTTGTTTGTCGAATTCATTACTTCCAGACTTCACTTCCTGGAGTCTTAGCAGGCTGACAAGAAAACCACTTAACCCCCTGTAAAGCCATGTTTTTTCACTTTGATTTTTATATGGATAAACAAAGATATAATAAATAAGCAAAGATATAACATGTTGGTTGTGAGCTTTAGAGGTTCGGGTAGGAGGATTTTGTTACATTTGGACAGTGCCAGGCTAGCTGTTTCCCTCCAGTTTTTATGCTAAGCTAAGCTAACCAGCTGCTGGAAGTAGTTTCATATTTACCATACAGAAACAGGAGTGGTATCAATCTAACTTTGGGCAAAAATTTGCATATTTGCCAAAATCTCAAACTATTTAGGAAAGTACATATTATCGTCTCTCATATTCTCTCCAGAAATGTAACAAAACCGCAGATATGACATCCCAATCCCTTTCAAATCTAGTTTGAGAGGGGAAATTATGGTAAAGTGCATAGTCAGAAAAATGAAAAAGGAAAATAGCCGGACAAGGGAACGATACGGCATCCCTTTTGCCAATACAAATTCCCAAATACCTTTCTTACAAAAGACTTTGAAGGTGAATATGTAAGGAAACAGTATTATAAAAGCTGCCCACTCTTTTGCGGCACTCAAACAAATCACTCACAGCTGGAGAGGGACCACGGACCACTCACAGTAAAGTGTCTTTTCTGAGAATGATGGATAAAATCACGTGGCGTAACAGATGTCATAGTTCCCATGGCAACTCGCTGCATTCATAGTGTGGAACGACAAGTGAGGAAATGCTCATACATAGAAATACACACACATTTAACAGTGCACATACAATGTAGATGAATCAAGTGCATCTTAAAAACGGCTCCCATACCTTAATGACACCCCCCACTCACAAGCTCTCACAAAAACACACTTCATATAGCTACTCAGTTCTGTCTGGGGCGACAACAGATTCAGTGTACAGAAGTTGAGGCCAAAAAAGACATAAAAAGAAAATAAACTCAAACAGCAAAAACTAAAATTAAATGACTCAGTAAATGATGTTTAATTTCTGACATTGTGATCAAAAGCTCAAAACGTAGGCAGTATCATATCAAGCAAGTTCAGGCGCTGTAAGTTCTTCCTCTTCTTCTTCTTCTTTTTCTTCTCATTATCATCATTCTCACAGCCACTTGGAAAAAAAAAATACTTCACTAAGGCCATCTCCCAGTGTACAGTTTCAACAATGTGAAGGCATAAAAGGCAAAAGAATCGCCTTTAAAGGGTTTTTATGTAACAACAGCACCTGGTTGCTCCAAGGACAAAGAAACAACTGCAGTATATTTCAGTGACTATATTAATATCTGTCTTTTACAGCCTCCCAAAGGACATCTATATTATCCGCCCCATCACTTCAACTCATACTCTGCTGGTGTGCAGGTTTCAGTAGCATCTCTTCCATGACGGCTGATGCTTTTAGATGCCTGTCTAGTCTTATAGAGTGATGTATGTATGTAAAATAAGTCAAGTAGCATCATACATTATAATAATGTAAAGAGTGAGGGGAGTTGTCAAAGTCAAGGATGAAACTGGAAAGGTAAGACGCCGTAGGACTCTGTAAATAGAGCAAGTACACAGAGGTGGACATGTACAGCCTACAGTTAACTGTTGCCACTGTTTGGCAACAGTTAGACACACAAGTGTAGCCATGCGCGCAAACACACACACACACACGCATGCAGTACATCTGTCCTCTGTTGACTTTCCTTTTTAGATCCTCCTTTCAGCCCAGTATCCCTGAGAGAACAACTATATTGGACAATTCTCTCATCTCACAATCTACATCTAATGCCAGTGCAGTAAGTATTGTGCCCTATATGTAGTGAGGAGGAATCTAAGGGTGTAGTGGTTCCACTGTGTATTGGCATATGGCATATGTGACTTACACACTGAGGACCAGAGTTTATCTTCTGTCATAGACCAGCATTTAACGCTTGCATTTTTAGAAATCATCAAAAGAAACAATAAGTGTTTTAGTTGCCTGACTCTAACCTAACCTTTCAGTGGCTCAAATCAATATCTCGATTTCAAAAAACGGCCA